CGACACCGACTGCCCGATTCAGCCGACCGGCAGTCCGGTCCAGACCGGTTCAGACCGGCTGGACCGGTTCAGTCCTATTTTTATCGGTTCGGTCCGTACGTTATGGTTTTAGCCCGTTCACGATTTTAATGGCATTTTCAGTTAAGATTCCGGGTTCAGTTCAGTTCGATAAGTTCATGTCCGATCAGTTCATGTCAGTTCAGTTCCGGTTATTCCGGTTAAGCTCAAATATTAAGTCATGTTCAGTAGAGCATCTTAATGAAATTAAGCAGTTAAGTTAACAGTCTGAGCATAGTCATTAGTAATTGTTTATATTATATTTCAGTTTGATCAGGTCACGAGTATCAGCACTGCCTTTATTTTCACGGATCAGGTGGGGACTCAGACTAAGTACTACATTGATTATAATTACGGTACCATGTTTGAGGTATGTATTTCATGTCATGTATCCGCTCGGAATGGTCACCGGTCCATTCTGGGTTCTAGTGGCCCTAGTCTGCCCACTAGAGTGTGCACATGGTGTCCGGCATTAGTTTGTGCCGGCAGATGAGGTAACGGTCATGGTTCACGTTCACGTGATGGTATCAGATTCATGTTCATGTTATTACCGGTTTCATGTTCAGGTTATGTATATGCCAAGATCATGATGTTGTTATTATTTTCAATGTTTACATTAGTATGAGTTTCCACGGAGCACAGTGTCATAGTGCTCACTTCCCACTGTTATCATGTTTTTCAGGTCAGGACGTCGGGCCGGGAGGGTGAGATGACGGAGGCTTCAGGACTTTTATGTTTTGACTGTGTATATATTATGACAATTTACGTTTCCACTGATGATGGTTTTGATGAACTTATGTTTTGACCGGACTTTTGGAAAAACTATGCTTTCAGTAATGGTATGATTTTATTAAAAAATTAAGATAACGGTTTTTTCCAAATAAGTCACGTTTTACGGTAGCACCCCGAATCAGTTTTCGCAAAGTAAAAGATTTTTATTTGTAAATAACTTTGCGAAATTTTCGCACTCTGATTTTATGATAAGGCGGGGTGTTTCACTTATTACCCGCCTTCAACACCATTTGGTAACAGGTCCTAGCCAACCGTTGGTCCCCCGTGACCTTACCAACCAACTCTCACATTGGGAATTTCATCATCGTGCAATATATTGATACTGCCGCCTGAAACGAATTTAGGCTAGGCCGCCCCAAGATAACATTATAAGCCGACGCCGCCTTAACCACTACAAACCGCACCATCTTCACCTTCCTAAGAGGAGGAGCTACCAGCGCCATCGCCAATTTCACCTCTCCAAGTGGCACTACCTCCGCCCCACTGAAGCCAAACAATGTTGTCTTGATTGGGGTGATCTACACACCTAAATCCATCCGTCGAAAACACTCATAGAACATTATGTCAGCAGAACTGCCCGTATCCACGAGAATCCTCTCAACATCATAGCCTGCAATCGATATGGGGAACCAATATGCCCTGAGAATCTCTTGCACTGAACTTCAACTCTGGCATGGCATGAGTAACCTGGACCTCCGCTACACTCTCCCAATCTGCTCCTAAGTTAGCTCGCCTAACCCCATTAGAATCCCCATCTGTCGGCCCCCAGCTATCATGTGGATTACTCCCCTTTTGGTAGGTCTCTCCCCTTGATCCTCTTGCCTCCTTTTCTTTTCTCCTCCCTCAGCATCATCTCTTTCCTCCGTGTCTTGCGCTATGAACTCCTTAAAATATTCGGTCCTTATCAGTCTCTCAATCTCATCCTTAAGCTCCTTGCAGTAGTTCGTCCAGTGCCCATAATCACGATGATACCTACAATAAGGATCACCTTCTACGGGCACCTTTCCTGACTTCTTAAGTAAGGGTTGAGGTTTGCCAAACATCATAGTTTCTCCACGCCTCTACATCATCTCAAACACCTGCCCCCTTGATGATGTCAACGGAGTATAGTGCTTGTACCTGAACCCCATACGCCCCCTATCATCACTCCTATAGTCCTTCCCTCCTGACTTTGTATCTTCTGGTTGATGCCTGTCATCATGTTTCTTTCCCCGAACTCGGTCATGTGCCTCAAAATCAGCTTCCGTTTCCTCCATATTCATATACTTGGTGCACCTTTCCAACAACTCGTCATAAGATCGGGCGGGCTTCTTAGCTAGGGAATTCCTACAATGGTCTGCCTTCAACCCCCGTGTTAGCCCACCAGACTTGATTTCTTCAGTCGTCGTAGGAACCTCCACACACGCGCGAGTAAACCTAGCCACATACTCCCTGAGGGATTCGTTTTCACGCTGCTGCATGTTCATCAGGGACATATACGTCTTCTCATGTTTCTTTGCAGGCAATTGGTGGAACCAGTCTTGAGCCGAACCCTTCAAGGTTATCAAAAAGGCTCTGCAACAAATGCCATCACTATATCGATGTAAGACCGAAACATTCTCAAAGCTTCGCAAATGCCTCGCCGGATCTGAGGACCCATCGTAATGTATACTCGGCTCCCTGAAATTCTGGGGTAAATCAGCACCCAAAACATCGTCAGTGAAGGGATGACCCTGCATCCTGGGATGCCGCCTGCCTTCCACCCTTGCTTGGAGCTCTTTGATCTGCTTCGCCATTTGCTCCATCATCACATCCCTAGACGGCCTCGAAACCACGGGCGACATCACCGACCTCTCTTCCTGATCGTCCCTGCGATGACTACCTCCTCTTAAAGGCCTAGACACCACAGGGACATGTTGCTCGACCTCAGCGGCTGGCCGCTCCCCCACCACGATGGGCCGTTCCACCACCACAGTGGACCGCTCTACCACCGTAGCCGGCCTTTTGACTATCCACGTAGGCCTCTCCACTATCGCCGCATCTCGTGCTGCCAAACCCCGACCTACCGCCTCCGCGACTATGCGATCCAACTCTCCTCTAGTCACTTGCACCATTGGCCCTCCTCCCTCCGGCGCCCCATCCGTCACTGATGTTCGTACCACCACCTCCTGACCCGTTCCCTGGGTTGCCAATCCCTGCTCCTGATCCGACGGGGGAACTGGGGGTACCCCTTGTATCGTAATAGGAGGAGTGGTCATCGAGCCATCTCTGCAAACCCATCCCTTCGGCGGCCCTCCACCAAAGGGCGTCTTCGCTACCCACGCCTCGTCCAAACTATCATTCAATTTCCTCCTCGACTGCTCATCCGCGATCGTATTCGTCATCCTCCTATCCTCAATCGGTAGAAGAAAATAGTAAGTCCCACAGACAGCGCCAATTGATGTGCTATTGCACACTGGACCGGCCTTCTTCGATCTCCAATCGCCTGAGCCCTCAAACACCTGTAAGGACGCCAGGAAGTGTTCCCGGTGGTAAACCTCTGACGCTCAAGTTAGTAGGGTATCGAAGAGAAGCACAATTTGTACATTAAGGTTTTGTAAAGTAAAAACTCATACCTCCCAAGCATAAGATCCGTCCATTTATATATCACTTCTTTGCTTACCCCATACGCTTTACCCTAACTGTTATTGGGCCAAGCCCATGCATATGTTAAAAAATCTGGTTGGTCACGTTCAGTAAGTCCAAACCGAGCTGTTAGTAGACCGAGTCCGTTCAATACCAACTCGCATCTGCTCGGCCCATAGATCGAGCCGACATCTGTTCGACCAATAAACCAAACCGATTTATACCGATCTACATAAAAATTCTCATATGCTATATCAGTTTGGGTCTAAATTTGCATTTTCAGACATGGTATACTCGATTTTTATTAGTTAGTGGACATTTTCTTTAATAACAAAAAGTTTTTTTTTTTTCTTTGCAATATTGTCATTTATTGGGCACATATGCATCTTGGCATAATTTAAAGAGTGATTTGAGACAAACAATACTAATTAATAAAATGAAATTTTGTATACAATGTTTTTTTTTTTTCATGGACTCTTTTTTATTTAAATATCAAATTATATGAAAGCTATGTTTCATATTTCAATAAATTTGACATAATACATTATTTAATGGACCTATTTTGTTTGATTAATTAAACGTAATAATGCACAAAAAATTGAATAAATTATATAAAGATTAAAAATTAATATCACAGGAAAATTATAAATTATGTTTTATGTGATTTACTAGGTAACTGAAAATGTAAGAAAAATGAAAACATTGGGTTCTAAACAGCACCCTAATTGCATGGATTAGATACCAAAAAAAACTAAAGTAAAAATGAAGAGAGTTAGTTATAAGGAAGTGAGTTAAAGGCGGGGGTGAAGGAAAACCCAATTAAGCTCATTAATAAATGAGTTGATGTATGTATAATAATAGCCATTTACAAATATACAATCTCTCTCAATCTCTCTCCATCTCTCTCTCTCTTTCTATTTTTTTCTGTCTCTCCGTGTGTGACCCACATACACATACAGTTTCTCCTCCCTCATTAACTAATGTTCCCATGGGATCCTAACACATGACATTATAAGGAGAAGAGATTCTGATGGGGACATGTATTTCCCTGCAAAGGAACACAACCAAACCTGAGCTGAAGCTAAGGTTGTCTCGGGTGGTGCGGGACAACCCAACGGCGGAAGGCAACATATTTGACAAGTACCGTGTGGGGAAGGAGCTGGGGAGGGGGGAATTCGGGGTGACGTACCAATGTTTTGACAAGGTGAAGGGTGAGTGGGTTGCGTGCAAGAAGATCTCCAAGAGCAAGCTTAGGACAGACATTGACATGGATGATGTAAGGAGAGAGGTTGAGATCATGCGCCATTTGCCCCCACATCCAAATATTGTAACATACAAAGAGGTGTTTGAGGATAAGGAAGCTGTGTACCTCGTAATGGAGCTGTGCCAGGGAGGGGAGTTGTTCGATAGGATAGTAGCGAGAGGACATTACACGGAGAGGGCAGCCGCCCACGTTACCAAAACCATTCTCCACGTGCTCAAGGTATCGTTCTACCTATGTATCTTTGTATGTATTCATTAATTAATATATGCATACTTAAATTGATTTGAATTCAGGTTTGCCATGAACATGGAGTCATACATAGAGATCTGAAGCCAGAGAACTTTTTGTATGCCAATGATTCCGAAAATGCTCCCCTAAAGGCAATTGATTTTGGGCTTTCTATATTCTTCCAACCAGGTCCACCAACTACATTCCATAATCGATGATTATATATCTATTGTGTCACCATATCATGTCTTTTATATTGAAAATCAGGTCAAAGATTTAGTGAAATTGTTGGGAGCCCTTACTACATGGCCCCTGAACTTCTTAGGCGCAATTATGGTCCAGAAATTGATGTTTGGAGTGCTGGTGTTATTCTTTACATTTTATTATGTGGAGTTCCTCCTTTTTGGGCAGGTAAATCAATTCATTCTGCCCCTAACGGATCATAAAACATTTGTAATGAGTTTAAAAAAAAAAAAATTCACTTATTTGTCATAAAACATTTGTAATGCATCATAGCATTAATTAGAATGTGTCAAAAAAAAAATTATCTAGTATGAGTTTCATTGCTTGAACATTAAGATGTGAAGACTGGATGTATTATCTAGTGCAGAAACTGAAGAAGGAATTGCACATGCAATTGTGCATGGTGAGATAGATTTTCAAAGGGATCCGTGGCCTAGAATCAGCGAGGATGCTAAGGATCTTGTTCGAGGCATGCTTCAGCAAAATCCTTACACCCGCCTAACTGTTGAAGAAGTCCTTGGTAAGTCTAACTTAACTACATCACAAACACTGATATTAGACATTATTGTAACAAATTTAACAATAACCTCAAATTAAATATGTTGTTTCACCGGATAGAACACGATTTCTAATGTAGAGAAGCGAATTCATGGGGCTGGAACTTATGGTTTCATGGGGATGTTGTATGTCGGGTGAAAAAGGTGAAGGATGTTTTCTTTACATAATGGTTAACAAGCATGTCTGACAAATATATGAAGTGAGTGACATCTAGAAATAGTCCTTAATTTTATTTTGTTTCTCCAACTTATGAACGTGTTTTATTGTTAAAATACTAATAATTTGTTTCAAACCCAATTAGTATGTTTGTCTCCTTCATTATGTTGGCGAATTGACGACAAAGCGCATACTATTTCTTCTGAAACTAATTATAATTTTGTGCATTATTATGGAAATTATTACTACTAAAGTAGCCAATATGTACAAACTGTATATGGACCCAATAATATTAATTTTTTTGCATTGTTGTGTATTATGAAGAAAGCCAATGGATACAAAAGGCCGACAAAGTTCCAAATATTTCACTGGGAGAAGGTGTTATAACAAGAATCAAGCAATTCTCGTTGATGAATAAATTTAAGAAAAGGGTCCTTAGTGTAAGTCCCTGATCATATACTGGATTCATCAATATTTAGTTACTCATGATTCTTTTAGTCAATTATATATATATATATATATATATATATATATATATATGTTCAATATATGTTTATAGGTGGTGGCAGATAACTTGCCTGATGAGCAGGTAGATGGGATAAAAGAAATGTTCAATATAATGGACACAGACAAGAATGGGAACTTAAATTTTCAAGAGTTGAAAGATGGACTGTATATGTTTGGACAAGCAGTTGCGGATCATGATGTCCAACTACTACTTGATGCAGTAAGTATGATATGATATTAATATATACCCACAGGCCACACCACACACACACACACACCGACGGCAGACTCGGGTAAATTAAATAATAATTTTGTTATTATTAGGCGGATACAGATGGAAATGGGATGCTTAATTGTGAAGAATTTGTGACTCTGGCGGTGCACTTGCAGAAGATAAGCAACGATGAATTACTGCATCAAGCCTTCTTGCAGTTTGACAATAATCAGAGCGGATACATTGAGTTTGAAGAGTTGCAACTCTCACTCTTATTAGATGACCACTTTGGTCCTACAAATGACCAACTGGTACAAGATATTATTTTTGATGCTGACCTCGACAAGGTATCATCATATCTATCCTCCATTTTTTATGCCTCCCGAGATGCTTAATTATTCAATTTGTACACGGACATAATAACTGTGACTATATATATAGGACGGGCGCATAAGTTTCCCAGAGTTCAAGGCGATGATGACAACTGGAATGGATTGGAAGATGGGGTCTCGACAATACTCAAGGGCTTTGCTCAACGTTCTTAGCATCAGACTTTTTAAAGACGCTCCAAATTTGCCACTCACTGTCTAATTTTATTTTTATTATATTAATGGGTACTATTTCTTGTTTTACAATTTTATGGACTTAAATTAGCACCAAATTCCCAACCACTTTAGTTTCTATCTTTCAAATTGTGTCCAACAACTTTTGTGATGTGTCTAGCTCAAAACGAATATTCACCTATTTTAAATAACTAGCATAATGCACATCATATTGTTGTTTTTTAATTAAGATTATTTTTATTATTAGATTTATATATATCGGTATAATTTCTTTCCATTAGTTTAATAGAAAAATGATTAATCTATATATATATAATTGCTAGCATATAGCATTTAATTTTACCTATTTAATAAAACCTCTAACAATTTCCCTCCATTTTCGGTTAAAAAAATTATCATTAATATTTTTTATTTCTCACATTAATACATCATAATGAGTATAATCATTTATTTTTCTATTATATTATATAATAATTATTGCTAATACCAATTAATAATAATTCACAAGAAATATAAATTACATAATTAAGAAAAAAAAAGATTAAAAGTGAAGAAAAAACGATGAAAATATTGCAGGTGGTAGGGTTTTAGGCATTAAATACATGTCTCTACCACTTTGTTGAATGTTCTACATTTGTGTG